CGAATAGAAAATCATCCGACTGATTTTGTCATATGGTTTTCAGAAACATTGAAATTGGATGCAACTGAATGATGTTTCATTCTATAAATGAAGGGTGATTTGGTTCAGTGTACGCAGCTGATAAGTAATGACGTTTTTACGTGCTACTGGATAGAACACGGAATGCTAAAGAACCCGCATAAACAATAACCATAAGATGCGCCTAACCACCAATTCGGGATATCATCCCAATTTTATGTGGTATGGTCGCACCATCTAAGATATCGTCAGTATATGGTACACGTTTATTAGGGAAATTACTTTTCCTTAGCATTTCTTGACCCAGTACGCAGTTCAAAAGAAATCGGTAAAGTAAAGATCGATTACATAAGTATCAACCGGTGGAAACCAACGATTTTAAATTGGCTCACTACTTGACTAGCCTATTGGTCTCAAGCAAATCGATTAACGTGCCCCATTCTTGTTGAAATTCTAGTACTACACTATGTTTGTTTGGATTCTCTATGAAAGTTTGATTGATAAAATTAGGAGTTCGTGGCTTTTACTATTTTATGTTGCATAGATGCATAGATTAGCTTGGGACCGAAGATAGTACCAGAGCTGAGACAAAAAGGTGAGCACGTTTCTTCGGGACCTACTAGTCTTAGAGTTACCTCTATGATAGTTTCGTCACAGACAAACATACATAACACTCGCAAGTTGTTCATCGAATAAGCATTTAACGGACAATTTAAAAGTATCGTAGTTGGTAGTACCATAGAGGTAACTCTAAGACTAGAAGGTCCCGAAATAACGTGCTCAACTTTTTAGCTCAGCTCTGGTACTCTCTTCGGTCCCAAGCTAATCGATTCACCCCTCGAAACATAGGAAAAACCACTAACCCCTCATTTTATCTGTCAAACTTTCATAGCGAATCAAAACAAACATTGCATAGTACTAGAATTTCGACTAGAATGGGGCTAGACTAGAATGGGACTAAAAATGGGACTAGAATTGGGACCAATAGGCTAGTTAAGTAGTGAGCCAATTTCAAATCGTTAGTTTCCACCGGTTGATTGTACTGTACCAATATACCATACTCTGTTTGAATGAAACCTCAGACCATTCAAATCGAAACATCGAAATCGCTTCTTCGAATGATAGCTGCAACCGGATAACAGTTGTTTTGAAATCATGATTTTCCTCTCGAATACAGAATGAACATTGTTATAAGAAGGGGCCTTCAGTTGGAATGCGTAATGCTCTCTGCAGAATGATAGTCATCTTAAACTGAAATGCATTTGGTATTGGTTCAGCCCTATAAGGCAAATCATTCAAAACTATGATGTAAATAATTCTATCGATCGTCATTTGCTGATCTGAGCAGACAAACAAGGTGGAAGCATAGCCATCGCTATCGGAGATGGTAAGAACATTGGTGAACCGTGAAAATCAAAGAATGTCTATTTCGTGGTGGAGGATGTTTCCTCTACCAACAAGTAGAAATATAAAACTAATCTATAGTATTTGCAAGTCATCCTATCTTTAAATTGTTGTCCTCTAAGCGCTGTATGTTTTACAGCCAATTTTCAAATAAATATCATCCTTTATTTGGCTGACAGTCATATGGATGCTCATCAGTAGATGACGAATTCAAACTATAGATACTATGGATTCCATCGATAAGCGGAGGCAAAGCATAATGTAGCCAACGAACTGTCAGTTAGTGTAGCCAAACGAGCATGACGCCATCATTGTTGTTTGAGGGAGAAGTATTGTAATATTATGAGCACAAAACGCTTTCTACACTCCACAATCCGATTTATTTCGCGGACAACGGAAGAAGGAAAGATAAAGCAGACCATTCCTCGACTCATTGCTGCAAAGATTTGCTTTGCATTTCATTTTGAACTTTTACGCACGAAACAAAACAAAACTGCACAACGAAGAGCTCTATGGTGGCATGAACTTTTTTCACGGATGCCAGTAAGATCATTTATTTTCATGGTTGCCAAAACAACTGTTTGTGCCTCCGCTTATCTATGGAATCTATAGTATCTATAATTCAACCATAAGGCAGTCATCTGAAATTCGACAGCATATTGTTAAAGGGCTCGAACGATACAATAATCATTCGAAGTATTGCGGATGTTTTCGTTCAGTGTATGCTTTTGTTTTTGCATCATTCTTTTGGCGCCTTTTTCATATCAGCTGATGGCTTCGACCAGCGCAATCAGAACGACACATATGTAAGATTTTTTTTTAATTTGTAAGTGATGGTTTCTAAATTAACATTTTAATCACTTCATTTTACACTATTTGTTTCAATTATATCGACAACACTGGATGCGACTATAAGCTATTTTACGTGACGTCTGGATAACAGTTCCTGGTGGGCCACTCGAACGCGCTCGAGGCATTGTTATTGTTTACGTCTTATACAAGATTCGTACACACACCTTCGTAATGCAGTATGTAGAAAAGGTAAACAAATCAGTTTCATGCTATAAACTTATTCGCGGCTCGCGTTTTTAACGATGCAAATGATATTATTTAAGCAAATATCGTATTTAAAAGTGAATGAACTTGAAAGAGCTTGCAGGTTTGCCGAGATCCAGCAAAACTTATGTTTGTTAGCTGAGATCTCGGCAAAATTCCCGTTTGTTTGCTGAATCTCAGCAAGTCTTTCACAGAGATCTAGCAAAATAAAATGCCGAGCTGCCCATCTCGGCAAAATCTAAGTGTGTACGTAGGTTGGAAGCTGCCTCCCTGTACATTCGATTGTCGTCAATGGCAATCGATGTTCGTCGATGATAGATGATTGCATTAGATTGCTGAACAGAAGAGACCGGCGTTAAATAAAGGATTTAAGAAAAAGATGAAGAACTGAACTTTCTTAACATAGCAACCACCACCATTTGCTGTCCATAATACTGTGTAAAGATTTCCGAATGAAAAAAACCACGACGCGTACTCAACGGTTAAAAATTTTATTCCGCACGCTTTACTTGCTTTTACACGAATGAAATCAAAACGGATCTAGATGAACCCATAAAGGTGGTTTCAATTTTTTAGAACGGAAATACACTGTCAAAACATAGAACACAATCTGGACAGAAAATACACACTCAAACATAAAACACAATATCTGGCTTAAAACTAGAAAATGGATTACACACTAATCATAACAGGCACATAATTATACTACAACTGTTTTGACAGAAGTTCATTTTTAAGCAACGCACGAAAGACTCCTAATCCAACTAAGTTTCAAAAATGAATTACAACAGATAGGGTTACGGTATGTAATGTGGGTCTCGTCCTTTCATTCGGCCTATCACGCAAATAAATAATTAATTAAGGAATATTACACAAAAAATAAGGAAAATATTGATCACTGATGGTTGATAAATGTGTACCACACACAAATCAATTTATATCATAACATTTCAATACATTTTCAGCTCTCGTAAGTAATAAAACTGGTTGAGAATATCACAATGTTCGGAGTTTTTAGCCGCCATGACTTATAAGGTTAAGATGGGAAGGTTGACTGACGATCATCAAATGGCCTGATTATGGCATTTATTGATTGGAATTACCTGATAATACACACTAGACGTAAAACTTACAGTTGCTGTTTGAATATTTTATGTTTATTTTAATTGTTTAACAACGTTTTCACAAGTAAAACATGGACCCAACTTTAGGGACACATTTTTTTTCTATGTTCCTAACTATGGCCCATGAAATTCATTTGACAGCATATAGCAATAAGAGTAACGTCAACAATGTTGTTTTGCATTTGGATGATAAGGAACGAACAGGAAGGGAGATTTTTTCTGCCAAACCTGTATAATGAACATCACAATGTTCTGATTTAGATATTCTGCGGTCAAAAGACGATAAGCGAAATTTTTAATTTTTAATTTTTAAATTGAGTGATTTAATGTAGTTTTCGTAAAATTTTCTCTAAGAAATGTTTTGAGGAATGAAGAGCATTAAGTTAACAGTGATAGTGATAAAAAAAAATACATCAGAAAACGTTACCAAGAGCGTTTTTTTGAGGATCAAACAAGATAGGACGAAGTTGCATCCATAAATAGACCCAATTTGGGGACAATAGACCCATATTACATACATTTCCCTCGTGAGTTATTGTCTTAAAAAAAGTAAGTTTTTCAACTTTTCGTGGTTTCTGATAGCAAACGACATGATAAGCATATCTAAGCATACCATTTAGCAGTAGAATATCGTTTGCAGGTAAATTCATTGATGAGTTATGATTAAAAACGTAATCGATGGCTGCATATTAGACCGAGGTTAGGGACGTATACCCTACTCGACTGCCTTATTCAGAAAACTCTCCACAACGTCAAGATCAAATTCAATTCGCGTATTCTGCCATCACCAAGCTCCACCAGGCACAAAATCAAAAGCTTCGCCCTCCAACTACGCCAACCACTGGAGATTGGATCGAGCTTTCTCGTGGGCCTTGCTGGCAGCGATGCCCGTCGGATTGATCTGCCCCAGTAAGACAATGGACGTCCTCATGGCTACCTGCATCGTCGCCCATCAACAGATGGGACTCTCGTCGGTTGTAACGGACTACGTCAAAACGAACGTGCTCGGAGGATTGGCGACCAAGGCTGTTCATGGAGCAACGTTCGTCTTATCGGCGGTCACTCTAGCTGGATTGCTGTATCTAGTTTTTGCTGACATTGGAATTGCCGAAACCATCCGGAGGATTTGGGCGGTGCAACCGACGAAATGATGTATGATGGTAATAAACATAAGTAGTTGATTCATGAACACGTGCTTTTATTTGAAATACGATTGCGCCAAACATAGAATCCCCTCTTTTCTAATTGAGCTTCCCAATGAACTTGGTGATGAATTTGAGCTAGTGCTTCATTTACAGCGGCACAACCATCAAGTTCATCCAATCTGTCATTTTACGCTCGTAAAAATACTACCGAAAAATGCCGAAACGGTACCTGTCACTTATGACAGTCGTCAGTTCTGCAACAACAGTACCGAGGTGCAGAGAGAGTGTGCGGAAAGTGTGTCTACCTAAACGGTTCGGGGAAAATTCCTGCTTCTCGGTCGTTGGTTCAAATCTACATTACTAATTACCCGCCCCACGGTAGCTTACTCATCTCTGCACCATCATGGCAGTGTCCACCGTGGACGGGTTTAATTCATGGCTGAATGCGAAGCTACGCGATTTCAACACCGACGAGGGTGTGTTTGGGTCCTACATAATGGGCATCCTCGAGGGCGACGAAAGCATTGACGAGAAAACCGAAGGCCTAGAGGGAATCTTGGCGGAAATCATAGTATGTACTGAAATCTTTCGATTACTAATGAAGCCTTAATCAAGTTGATTGTTTTGCAGGAATCTGATTCGAGTAAATTTATCAAAGAAATTCTTGACAAATGGAAACAGTGTCATCTGGCGGAAGATGCAAGTGCTCCCAAGATGAAGCTGGATGTAGATGAACAGTTGGCCAAGCTGCTGGAGAATCAAAAGTTGGCCAAAAAGGTGGAACGGGAGTACACGGAAGAGGAACGACGGATCAAGCAACAGATCTTATCGCAGTACAGCCAGGTGAGTGCTGATTGGATCAAACTTGCCTGTATGCTTCCGGGTGGTTCCAACAGGGTAGGGGAAATTGGGATGAAATGCCCATGGCGGGCAATATGCACCCTCCCCCCCCCCCTTCTATCTCACCTGCTAGTTGATATGATGGCGAAAAATTGCTATCATACGTTAAACTCTTAAGATAAAAGGATTTTATAATGCCCTCAAAGGCAGACTAGAAACCTAGCCTTTTGTGATGTGAAAAGCAACGGTCGGACAGGAGGCAAGACAGCTTTCGATCATGAGTAAAACCGGAGTTAATTTGGAGTAACTCTGAGTAACTCACGTTGCTCAATATCTTATATACACATAGCAACCTGATTGTTTTATCAAAAATAATGTTGAAAACGATACTGTCAAGCAAAGTAAGTTGACGTGCTTTCTTGAAATTTCTATGTAGGGACTTTTAGGGCGGTTCGATAGGTTCGGATGAGGCTAAAATAATTCAATAAATTCAATTCTTAGAGCAATATAGTTCGCGTTAAACTTCCAGAAACTCAATGAAAACCTCGATGAAAACGAAATTTACACAAATATATAAAAATAATAGAGTACATACAGGAAGCTGCATGATTTTCAAAAAGATAAAAATACAATGTCTTCCCATTATTGGTAACATATGACTTTGCATGTTATGCTATCTATACATTCATTGAAAGCTCTATTCTATTTATGATATTACTCGATCATTCTTTAGGTATTAGACGCTTGATATTTCATGAAATGTTGGGTTCTTGGCACAACATTGAGGAAATAAACATATGAGACCGTGTTTCCAAAAACGGTACGCACTGTTTTTGGTTGTTAGCCATGAGCTGATTATTAGTGTTAAGGTTCCACAAAGGGTAAATAATCTGTTTACTTCTTCTTTTTGAAATATCCTTCGATAATCATTTTCTAAATGTATTAGAAAAATTCATTGGAAGTGTATGTCCCCACGCCAAAACTGCTCTGGTTTCATAAATATCAACAGGTATGGTGAGAAAAATTTAACGATCTTTTATCTTCCTGCATGTATTATATTTCAATGCAACAGAAAATGTGATGTATGTGTAAACTAATGATGATGATTAAAGAATATTTCAAAGATAAGAAGAATGCAAATTTAATTGTTGAACCTTAACAAACTCCACGAAGCTGGCCAGAGCTGACCTAATCTGGCCTAGAATCAGCAGTTACATAATATTCTACAAGCAGCAGTCAAAGACCAATTCTATTGACCACTAAGGAAGTTTAAAGCTCAGGTTGTACCTCAGGTAACCGAAAGGGAGCATTCCCCTTTTGGAACGGGTCACTCTAGAGAGGGTCCAGTATAGACCCTCTCTATGTCACTCTCGTCACTCCTGTATCGTCCTAGGCCGTGTCAATCCTCACCAACAAGAGAAGGCGCCTGAAAGGCATCCAAGCCACAAACGAACGACAAGACCGTCGTGCAGTCAAACCACCACAGGAGCATTTCGTTTGTCGACAATTCGATTTGTTAAACGAGCAGTTCGATCTGTCAAATAGGCGAGCAGATGCTTCAAACAAAATATGCTGTCAGACGATATTTTCTTTGATCAGAAAATCGAGACTACTTTGCTCATTTTTGAGTAAATATGAGTAACTCAAATTTACTCGCTGCAAATATATTTACTCTGAGTACAGCTGTCTTGCCCTCAGGGTCTGGTTAACTGCCTCTTTGGGGGTTATTCCGAGAGTCAAAGTGATTTTTGTCACTAGTGAAGTGAGAAAAGTCACGTTGGGGTACACTAGAACCTACAATTCGGATTTAAATCTATAAGTGAACTGCTGGTATGAGTTCCTCTGATATATTCAATTAGTGGATGTTCCGGAATATACAGTCAAACAGCACATAATGTTGTGAACAACTTCAATGACAGTTGTCCAGCAGTGCTCCCATTTTATTTACAACTATCCAATGCCTACGAGATTGTGCCGAAGGTGTGCCGATGGATGTACCTATGGGTTGATGCATAAATTATGTCACGCTCTAAGAGGGGGGGGGGGGGTTTAAGATTTTGCGACAAGCAATGCATTAGGTAGATATAACGTAACTGTCACTTTTGACCGTCATCATCGATATCTCTCAAATAACAATTCAATCATATAAATCAACATTACCAATAGATGGAAGTTTGTCTCGACTTTTCGATGGAATCATTACTTTGTTTGATTGAATGATCGTTTGCGAGAAATCAGCGATGGAAGTCAAAAGTGGCAGTTACGTTATATCGAGGTATAGGAAAAACGTCACGATAGAGGGGAGAGGGGGTCAATTTTTCTTCGATTTAGCGAGACATACACACTAATCCAGGCCTCCGTCGTTCGGTAAATTTTGAACTACAGAACTTTTCGGTAAAAGTTTAAAAATCAGTGAAAAATCACATTTTTAGAAAATTTATTCCGAGCTTGTACAGAATTTGTTCAGTTTGCCCCATTTATTCATGAAAAATAAAATTTATACATTTTCTTGATTTCTCACTTGCAACGGTTATTTGAAAATTTTATCGACTTGTTCTGCTGTTCAAAAACCCGGTAAAATCCTACCGACTTCGGTGATCTGAATTAAGTGTGTAATTAATGCATGGGCCCTAAGCGATGCCGAATCTAATTTTGCTGAAGCCATCTAACCCAAAATTTCATTAAAATAGAACCAAAGGGCAGCTTTTTTAAAGTGATGCAATTTAACTGTGGACACCCTTTAGTTGTTGTGGATAGAATTTCATGGTAGCTCTGACTAAAGCCCTCTAGTTAAAGTATGGACGACTGTCACCACAAAACTGAAAAAAGCTGTTCCAATCGAGCGAAGCGGTGCATTTTGACAGTTCGATTGGACCAACTTTTGACAGACGTCCATACTTTTACTGTAGGGCTTTAGTTCTGACTCAGAAGTTCTTAGCAGAATTCCACGGGGGTTGTGAAGAGTGTTTCTGAAGAATTAAAACTGTGTTTTGAAGACATTTTCATCGGAATTTCTGGGAAAATTCCAGGGCTGCGGATACGAATACGAATGCATTTTTGGTAGGATCTAGGGGCCTGGAGTTACCGCAAATGGTGTTTTTTGCCGGTTAAATAGTAGGAATTGCACTGATTATGACTCCAGACACTTCGAAAATGCCTCCGACTCCAAGCCTACCCCGCAGCTTTTCAGTTTAGTTTAGTTTGAGCAGAATTCAATGCAAATTCTGAGAATAATTCAAGTGCATAATCCCGAAAATTTTCTTATGTGTTTTAGAAGGGAAAGCTATCAAGATTTCCTAGGGAATCCTGGCAAAACCCTAAGAGCAACCTGTCAATAATTTCAATTGAATTCTGATAACAAAATGCATAGTTTCTAAATCTGAGCATAGTTTCTAAAGAATTTTAAAGCGAACGCCAATTCTGAGGATACCTGCAGGGGAATTACGAGGAAAATTCCAGGCGAATTTTACGTAGAATATCACAAAAATTTTGGGAGCATTCCATGGGAATTTGAAGCATAATTTATGGTAAATTTGGGAAAATTCATAGTTCATAAACAATTCCAAGATAATATTTAATCTAAGAGGCTATTCATAAACCACGTATGTACTCGTATCGGTCTACGTAGTTTATGAACAGTCCCTAAGGAGAATTCGCAACGTTCTGGGACTGAGGTTTCGGATTTAATGTCCTCCATCCGTAACATAATGGTCCCTTGTTGTTGTATACATGAACTCAGAAATTATACATTCAGAGAAAGGAGCTCGGGGTAATGGGTCGTTCAGCAACAGTCTTCAGTGCTTTTCGAATCTTCACTTAAACTATCCAATACTACTCGTTTGGCCAACAGACTCGAATCACAGGATCCATTTTTTTACTTCAGCATAGCACTGTTCAAACTAGGCAAACAGCCTTCTCGTCAATGGATCTTCTCGGTCCGTGTTCAAATCCTTCCAGAATCTCAAACAGTGCAGCTCACATCCACTGTTTGTGCCATTTGTCATCAATAGTGCACTCCATATGACAGAAGTATTGTCGATACTCCCATCAATATTTTTACGTTAATATGCTCAATAATAGTTTTGTGAACACTTTTTTTTTTGCCGAATCTCGGTAACTTTTTACCGAGATATGCACAGCCGAGTGCTCGGCAATCTGTTTTACTGAGACCTCAGCAAAAATGACATTTGGTTGCTGAGTCTTATAGTACGTTCAGACTACAGAGTTATAACATGTTATAGCGCTATCTTGATAGTGGTTTCTGTGTTGCAATTATTTGACAACCGTTATAACATGTTATAACTCTCCAGTCTGGACAGCGTTTTAAACGCTCAGTAAAATTGATTGCCAAGCACTTGGCTGTACAAATCTCAGCAAACAAAACTAAGTACGTGGGTTATCAATATTCCGAGACAAACAACTTTTCTCACAAAAGACGATCATGATCAGGCCCCAGCTGCTGATGTAGAGCAGTTCCACACCAAATGATGAATCGATCTGATACGATCTTCTCCGATTTGCATGAAACTTTGCATAATTGTTTGTTAAGGTCAATCATTCACATTTGAGTTAACATTCGATTTTTGATTTTTAGTCTCGCAAAAAACTTCAAAATGGCGTATTCAAAAAATTTTAACAAATCATAACTGGAAATCCAACTTTGAAGTGAGCCCCTCAAATTCGACAGTCTTCTAGTTGCCTATTTTTAGGATTTGTTTGAGCTACGGGACATGGTTGATCATTTTCGTTACTCTCTTGTTTAGTTTTTGTTTGTTTATTTATTAAAGAGACTTTCAGCCCTAGGCTGGTTCGTCTCTACTTCTTGTTTATATTTACTGATGCGCTAGGTGATTAAATGTAAATGTGATGACTATCTACGGTTATGTTAGCATGTTAAGACCTTGAAATGTATTTCAACTGTCACATCACAGAACGAAATATGGTAAAAATGGACCAATCAATAGAATGATGAGAGTATAATAATTATTGTATCAGTATAGATCTAACTATTTCTAAAGATACAGTAAGAGAACACTAACGGCTTTCATCTCGTTAAGTTTAAAACAATTTTTATTTCCTAGATATTTGTATATGTAGTCTACATTGAATGACAATTTCAAATAAAACACATTTTTTGAAAATAGCACTATTGTAAAACGGTCAACACTGATTGACGACAAATAAACAAATAGAATCCATCATTTAGCCATTTGGTTGTCTTTCCATCTGCCATACCAACAGCTTTCGGAAAGTGAACATGAGGACGACGATGTCGATGATGGAGCCGCAGCTAGTGCCGGAGGGGGAGGTGGAGCCGGCTCGTCCAACGGGGGCCTGTCGCGGAACACGAATGCCGCCGATGTTGCCGCCTTGGTAAGGGAGAAGCGTGAACAGGCTAAGCTCGAAAGTCAGCAAAAGAAGGACAAGGACAAGCAGGATCGCGAGAAGCAGAAACAATTGCGCGAAGACAAGAAAGAGAAACGCAAAACTGTGAAGGGGGAAAGAAGACGGTAGCGCCCTTGAACGGAGATCAGCAATTGTACAGTGCACAACGGTTTGGAAGTAAATACATGATGGACGGATAAACAATATCAATAGAAACAGTTCTCAAAACTCGATGTAATTCGGTCTTAAAAATATATGTTAGAAACAGGATTTTCAAAATCAACAGCAATGTTTTTTTTTAAATTAATCTATGAAAAAGTTTGTTTTGCTTCAAATTAAAAAAAAAACACGTTTGAACAGAGGTGGTTTTATTTTGGAATCGATATCACAAATAACCTTACCGTCTAGCCGTAGGAAGCCGCTACCAACAATACCAACAGAGGTAATCCTCCACGGAAACGTTTGGTTCATCGAAGACATAATCAAAGCTGTCATAAAGATAATCTCCTCCATTCTGGTACTCGGCTCCGTAATCCGAATAGTAGAATTGATTGCTGCTGTACCGATTAGGGCTTGGTGGGTAGAAGCCCATCATGCTACTAACGAAGTCCATGCCGGTCCACGGTTGATACAAACCGGCATTTCCTGGAAAGAAACGTGACTCTTTAACAACTTATTTTACCGTCAAAAACGTTTCATATACTTCGGTATGGAGTTGATCGGATTGCTGGTAATATTGTGAAGAAAATCAATAAAGTATATACTAAATATGACTTCATTTTAAAAACCAGCATCCTCGGCGGTTGACAGTCTAATGAAGCTGAGCTGTTTGCGCTGACTATTGTATGGCAGCAAAATGGGGATCATTACCAGCGTGATGACAATGGCAGCAATCAAAGTATCATTTGGGAGTGAGTTAATTCGTTGAATTATCTATCTTCTTCTTCTTCTTTTTTACAGCGGATGTAAAATATCCTTGAATTGCATAAACAAATTGACGTGGATGACAAAATATTGAAACTAAAGGTTGTCTTCTTTTTTTTTTATTTTATTGAAGCTAAGGCCACAGCCAAGGGCGTAGCTAGGTTTCGAGCTAGGAAGGGGCGAAAAAAAAATTAATTTGGAAAATTTGGCCGAATGCCATTTCACCGAAAGCCTTTGTGATGCTGAGTTTAGGGGGGGGGGGGAACTGCCCTCCCTTGCCCCCCTCTGGCTTCGCCTATGGCCACAGCAGCAAACATAACTCACAAAAGACTGTGTTTTCAAACTAGTTACTATGCACCAAGTTTTCAAACTAGTTACAATGCACGAGTCAAAAGTCCACATGTACACACCCTACACTCAAAGATAAATTAAATCAAAAAAGCTTAAAAAGTATGCAGTTTCCCGCTGCACCTTAGTGAGTCCGAGCCATGATTACTTCGGCCGTAGTCATGCATGATTAAATTCGAAATAATCTTTCCAGTATTAAATTTTATTCTTTTTCAATACTAATCAAAAAAGATTAAAATTCAAAAAAAAATTTATAAAAATGATGATGATGATGATGATGAATTTATGATAAAAATTTATTCAAAAACAGATAATCTACAATCTAATCAACCATGATTAAACTGGGATTAATATCAGATGCTTATTTTTTAGAAAGAGAGGATTAATTTTTAATCATTCGATATGATTAAACTGAGTTTAATGTCAAATTGATCAAATTTCAAGCAAAATGGAAATAGTTCAATTTATCAGTTTACAGAAAATTGATTTGAACCCAGACCCTGATAAGCCAAACCCCTAAGTGTTCTATCCCACCATGCTTTTCTCGCTGTAATCGTTCACAATCTTCTTCTTTTTTTACTTTATTTGCGTGATTTTTAGCCGAAGGTTAGTTCATCACGGGTCGTTAACAAATAAGAATTGGAAAACGATCATAACGAAACTACATAACAGCGAAGACAACATATCAAGAAGACGGGCAACTTTGCCAGAATCCAAGTGACAGACACAGTAGTGCTGCGCTTGAGCAAAGGTGGAAGCAACGCATAGAAAAATCAGCAAATACACAAACCTTTCTTCTGAGGATGTTATCTTTGCTATCAAATTGGTTCGAAGCATTTACCTTTGAGGGGCAGATGACGCGATTGTACTAAAGTCGCTATATTCATAGTCTGGCGGATAGAATAAAACCAACAATTGAAAAGGTATTATCAAATTTTATAAACAAAACGTTGATTATTCTTTCCTCGCTAATCAAACGCAAATTACCAGCATCATCGGATAGGGGAAACTTTCCCCAACCCAAAGATTGTATTAATTTGCGTAGGCGAGTCTTGAGTCACGAGAAAAAGAGTTCCAAAGTTTTGTTCGTAATAACTGATGTGCTCTTTTATGTTGTTGGTCGTGATTTGCTCGATTGGCTCAGCTATTTGACAGCTCAATTGGCTCCCGAGATTCTATCCGCCAGACTATTTATGAATATAGCGACTATAGATTGTACCTGTCTCGCTGTCTCATAGCGTTCGTATGAGAAAATGGAAGAGTTACCAGTCTTCTCGATTTGTTGTCTTCGATAACAGGCAATAGAATAATATAGAATCTCCAACAGACAGCGTAACTTAAAACGTGACTGTTATTTGTTAAGAGCCACGCACATCAGATCCGGATCTGACGCATTGCGGCATAATAACAGCTAAATTTATTGACTAACTGTCAAATTTTCATAGAACTCCCAGAAAATCCAGGAATTTATCGTGAATTTCTCCGGACTTTCTCGAAATTCTCTTGACTACCCTGAAGTTCACTGTACATTTCTGAAGTCCTCAGAACTTCTAACAGTTACCACAATTTTCCAGATGTGGATGGAACTACTTTGAAGTTTCCGAACCTACCCCGCTGCTCACGGAACTTCGGTTAAAATATTTACTTTCCTGAACTTCTTTGGACTTTCCAAAAGCACCCACAATTTTTCTGGAACCCAAAGAATTTGCTGAAGTTCTAACAATTTGTCTGGAACTGCCCTACGATGCTCTTATCGTCCCTGAAGTTCTCGAAACTTTCCTAGATTTTTTTTAGATTCTTCTGAAGCGCTAAGTACTATCCTAAACTTAATAGAACAGTCCTAAGAATCCTTAAGCTTCATTGATAAGCTCTAAACTTCGGTGGAGCTTTCAACAATTTAATGAAATTTTCTTATCTCTGAAGTTTTCTGGATTACTTGCAAAAATTAGAAATTTTTCAATATTTTCCTGAAATTAATGGAACTGCAATCATCTTCTCTGAAGATAACCCAATTCTAGAAACTACCCTGAAGCTTACGCTAACGAACTTCTTTCAAAATGTTCCCGCATTTTCCTGATCTTTATCTTTATTGAGAGCAGGGAAAAGACCATTTGAGTGCAGCTTACTGCAAAGCTTTTTTTCTCAAATGGGCATACAGTGTTAACTTGAGCTTGAGCTTGAGCTTGATTGACCGCCCACGGTTGCTACTCTGTTACTGCCAGATCAGCTGTAATTACACAGAGAACCAATAGACGATACTTGGGACTAGCAATCATCCTCAATGTGTAAAAACTGGTGATCTTAAATTAGGCAATACCAGCGCCGGCCGCGCCCGAACACAGGTCAAGAAAGGAATGGGAAGGATTGTGTTGACATGACACTCGCATTGATGGAAGCCGAGAACACCTCTGCACTTCCACGAGGAATCACTGGGATGTTGGATAAGAGGGTTGGGTTTGCAGCAGGGTTCGTTTTGGTAAACGATAAGCTGAATTGATGTCCTAACGATCATATAACGCGAAGGAGCTTGGGACTAAACCCACGGTCTTCTGCTCAGTAAGCAAAAACGTTTGCCACTAGGCAGACGAGCACCTTTTTAATAACCGAGTTGCTGTTATTACCATGTAGTCATATTAACAAATAAAACGATTGACGAATCTTGAATGTGAATGGGCCTGAGATTAGACTCATGATGTTCTGCTCAGTAAGCAAAAACGATTGCTCTAAGGCCACCGAGCCCCTCATATCACATAATACCGTTGCTCAAATTTGTGTATCCATTCAAACCCGGAACCAACGACAACAACGAGTTTCGCAAAATACACGATACACAAGCGATTTTATCATAAATCTCTTTGATATGTAAGGACCTGGGACCGCGTTTTTCTGCTCAGTAAGCAGGCCACTGTAACCGACGATCTTTCAAATCCGAAAACTAAAAACTACGAAAAAGTACTTAGGCCTTCATTAAGTTCCACTTTCACGCTACGTTCAATGACAGGGTCCTATCCAGGATTACATCTGAAAAATCCAAATCTGGCCAACGCCCACCTAAACCTGTTCTAATCCACCTGAAATGACTAACGAATGGAAGACTTTGACTACCCAGCCATGTAATAATCTCATTCCGTGTCTTATGGCAACTTGATGATTCTATTGCGCTCATCTTTTGGCACCACCCAGGGGAGACTTGGTCCTGTACCCAATGCTTAACTTATCTCCATTCCACTCAGCTACTCGCAATTTCTTGTGATATAGTGGGCGGAATAATATTATATGAGACAATTCAATGCAGACGTCTTTCCAAATTTGGCAGATCGACAGGTAATCGGTGAGTTACCACGATAGTTGCTATTCAACAACTCAACAACGTCCCATCGTCAACGCCTGCTATGAGAATTTCCCATTGCAGACGCCAACGAAATGACGTCATCGAGCTATCGATCAACTACCCTGGTTATCGCCTGGTACCTTATAGCACGATGCTAGGAGGCGAACCGGAAGAATCGATGAGCTACCTCTCCCCCGGGCATACAGTGTTAACTTACGACTACAAAAATTACCTTATTCAATATCTTACTACTACTTATATTTTACTAACTGAGCACTTCACGGAACCTTTTTTTATTGATTGAGCGAGACAATGATATTCATGAAACTTTCTTGATGATCTCGGAGTTTCCTTAAAGTTCTATGAATTTCCAGAATTCCTTTGTTTTCGAAGATTTCTTGACTTCGCTGGGTTTGTTTGATCTTCATTACAGAACTTTTCTGTAATAAATGCGATGAAATTCTTAGGTTTTGAATGAAGTTTTCTAAATTTTCCTGAAATTCATGCAACTACCCCTAAATTATCGGATCTAATTCTTCAGCATGTTAGAACTTCTTTGATGTCCAAAAGTTCTCTGTATTTCATTAAGTTATCCCAGAAATTTTAAAGTAATTCCTAACAGTGCATACTATTAAATCTTATTTAGTTAATTGAACT